CAGCGGAAACGAATCAATTGGCATGTTCCTGATAGTCAAGAACAGCTTGTGCAATGGGAAAGTGATGCAGATGAATGTATTGCTGTAACGCCTCCTGTGGGAGTCGTTACGGTTGTTCCTGAAACACCTGAGCATGAATGGCCTACGCCACCGTTTGATGAAAGCAAAAAAGGGGAATTTGCAAAGGCGTATGGGTTAGCGCCTGCTGAGGGTGCTGTTGAAAGTTCACGTGAAAGAAGCAGGCTGCGAAAATTGGCTATTGCTAAAAAGGAACGACATGCAAAAACATGGAAATTACAGTCTGATCAAGGTACAATTGAATCGTTTCTGGGTAGCATTGAGCCGTACAAGGCTTAGTAGCATGGTCGCTTTGCTTGCTCATCCTCCTGTCCGTGCTGGCGTTTCTTGCCTAGGATGTCTGCGATTTGAACTCCTTCATCTCCGAGACTCTTTAGCATCTGTAGGATCTTCTCTCTTTCTTGTGTCTTTTGCCATACACTTGCTGCTTCGCTGCGAATTTCTTCCACTAGCTCTTGTGATAGACGAATGTATATCTGTGACCCCGGCGTGATTGGCGTTGGTGGGAAAAATCCAGCTCCTGTTCCTCTGAATGGTATCTTGTCTGTTGGGACGAATGGCCAGTCGTCGAAGTAGTTCCATACCTGTTCATTCTCGCCGTCTGTAGAATGTACTTCGATCTTGGAGTGGTCGATCGCCGTGTTGTCCACGTGTAGATAGGCGGCGTAGTCTAGGATTGTGCCTGGTATCATTGTGACGCCGTCCAGTGCGTCTTCGTACACGAGCACTGATTTGTCGTCTTGTGGTGTTGTCTGTAGTACGTTACTGTATTGCCAGTTGCTGACAACGGAGTACTCTGCTGCTCCGTTCAACTTGCCAACGTATCCTAGGCACATCGTGTCTGGTGGGGGTGGAATTGTTGGTTTGACGTACGATGTAACGAAAAAGTCGTGTTTCCATGGGTTTTGTGCGATGCTGTATTCTGCGCCGATCTTGTCTGTGGTTATGCGGCAGAGCAGTTGGTCTGTTTCGGCTGCAGTCGCCATTCGCATTGCTCGTCTAGCTAGTTCGGTTGCTTCTTCGTTCGTGATCGGGATGTTGACGCCTGCTGTGACTTTCTCGTATTTCTCGAGGTATTGCTGTAACTGGCTTGGTGCGAACCAATCTCCTTCGAAACCGGTGTCTTTTTGTCCTTTCGTTTCTGTTGAGTACCATCTTATCTGCTGTGACATGCCGTCCTCCTGTACGTACTGTAACACGTTGTCCTTTCGTGCATATTCTATGAACACAACGCTGTTGTACTTGAAGCGGGGGAAGTTCACCGGTATCATTTCTTCCGTGAAGCTGCCTGGGTTGTCGGGTGTTGCGATTGGTATCTTGTAGGGCTCCTTTTGATAGGGCCACGAGACTACCCATTGGTTTGGTGGGTCTCCTGGTTCTGCCAACGAATGCATGTACACTACGTTCGTTATGTTCTGTTGTGTGACTGTTTCCGATGATGAGGGTGCTGTGTATGCCGCTACTTGTACTCTGTTGTCGAACTCGCCGTCTGGTCTGTATTCTTGTACAATTTCGGCTTTACCTGTCCTGTACACGAATGATTGCCCTGGGTCTTGGGCTAGATACTCTGGTCGTACGGACAGTGATGCCTCTTCGTTCATAAGTGCTTGTAGCGTCGGTTGGATTCCTGCTAGCGCTTGTATCGCGCTTTCGTTCTCCAGTCTGAAGCGGCGTACATCCTCTCGTGACGGGATCGGTGTTCCTGTGCTATTGTATCCGAGTTTGTTGCATGCTCTACACGCTGTTGTGGTTACCCTGCCTTTGATCCTTATCGGATAGTCGTATGAGACAAGGAACATGCTTGCCAGTGGTACTATTGATGTTACACCCGATACCATGTCGCTGAAGAAGTCCATTGTCTCCATGTCGTCTGGTTTGGATTGCATGGGCTCTCCCTTTCCGCCTGTTGCGAGGTTGTGTGGCCTACTGTTCGTCATGATGTGTTCGGCTCCGTTTTCGTTTACGGCGATTCTTGGTTGGACGCGTAGGTTGCGGTAGAACTCGAGATGGGACGTCGTTGGATACGCGGCTACGTTCAGCTGTCTTGTTTCGCCGTGTGTTGCCGCTGTTGCGTTGAATGTGGACGTCATCAGGTCTATGCCTTGACCGTCTGAGTGTCCGATGTCGGAGTGTCCTTGAGATGCTAGGCGGATGTTCGTCTTTTTGAGTTGCAGGTGGTGTATGCCGTGTGTTTGTGCTAGTTTGTCGAGCAGTTGCCTTGGTGTCGATGCGCCGTGTGCTTTCGCGATGTGGTGCATGTGTCTGTGGTGCGCTGCGAATTTTACTTTTCCGTGCACGTCCACTGCTTCGACTTGCATGTGTTTGTGTACTGTGTGCGTGTGGTGTGGGCCGTTTGATATCACTCCGCCGTCGTTTAGAAACTGCTCGAACATTGGGTGCACTCCTGTCTTTTGCATTTGCATGATGTCCTGCCATGTCCGATCGCACCTCTCTTTCACCAGGTCCTTGATGGCCGCGAATTCACCGGATATTTTCTTTGGTATCCGTCCGCGCTGTTCTTCTTCGCACAAGATCTTCATCCATTTGCTGGCGCATAATGCTGGTTGCATGTATGGCGCTTGCCTGGGGTATTTCTGTACAGCGTCTTCTAGTGCCTTGTGGCGGTCTGCGTTGAAGAGTTTGTGTGTCCTTATGTTAGAACCAGCTGCTCTCTGGAATAGAGTAGGTAGCGTGCGCTTCGTGCCTGTGTCGGTTTCATCTCCTGCTCTGTTGAACACATGTTCCGTGCATGCATGGCAGTCGCATCGCTCATATGCGATTGCGGATATCAGCTTGTCCTTCTTCATGTTCATTCTCCACTCTTGCATTCTCCTACGGACTCCCTTCTCGAAGACCTCCAGCATTCGAGGGTATTTGTGTAGAGGGCATTTGCGCAGGTACGAGAACTGTACGGGTGGGAATGGGTTTCTTTCGTCCTTGTAGACGTAGTCGAATTGACTCCATTTGCATTCGCCGTCTGTTTTGTCTGTGCCGTATCGTCTGGGTGTGTATTTCACACGTGTGCTTTTGCGCGGTTGTGGTGTCGGTGTCGATTGTTGTCGGCCTCTTTCCATTCTTTCTGCGTGGTCGTTTTGTTGTTGAATTTGCTGTAGTCGTCGTGTTCGTGTGGTCTGTGTCGGTGTAGTACGTTCTACCCCTGGTGGAGCAGAGAATGTGTACAATGGACGGGCTCTTTCATCGGCTTGTGGCGTCATGCTCTCGGCCTCGCTGTGTGCTGCTGCTTCGTCTGCTGTTTCTGTTGTTGTTTGTACTCCCCAGTTGTTCTCGTCGTACCTGGTTTGATCGAGGCTCTCGGGTGAACTGGGTGGCTCTGGAAACTCTGTTTGTCTGTCCTCTTCTGTTTGAGCCTCTGCAGCTGGTTCTTCTATTGCTGGTTCTCCTCTTTGTATCGGAGGGAATTCACGATCGTACGCGTCTTTGTCTCCTGTGCGGCTTGGCGGTGCAGATGATGGTCTGTCATCGTGTCGTGCGTGTTCAGACCGTGGGTGTTCTGTGGGTAGGCCGCTATGGCCGTTGTGATAGCCTAGGCCTAGGATCAGGTCCTCGCTTGCCTGTTCGATTGGTATCGCGTTGTCTGTGTTACCTTGTACGAGTATCGTCCCGTCCTCTAGCTGTGTTGGTTGCATCCCGTCTACGCGTTCTGCGAGTTCCTGGAATGACATGTCTCCGAGTGGGGCTAGATCGCCTACTTTGACTTGTGTTGGGTTGTCTCTAAGTTTCTGCACTGCAGCTAGCTGTAGTTGACCGAGGTTAAGACCGATGCGGTCTTGTTGTCGCCCGTCTTCGTTTGTTAGGAACTTGATCGCGTTGATTTTCTCCGCGTGTGAGTTGTTCGCTGTGTCTGTGTCTACGCGGATTGGCTCCTCTGTTGCCACGCAGTCTCCGCCTTCGTATGCCATGTATGGTTCGTACGGCGTTTCGGTGGTTCCCGCTCCTGGTATGATTATATTCTGCGCTTTCTCTGGGTGTTGCACGTCTGCTGGGTTTGGGCAGACCGAGTCTCTTTGCCGGCCGAGATACGTTTTGTTGCTTGCCTGTTTTACGTCGGTTCCTTCTATTACTGCGATCGACAGAAGGGTTGTTGGGTCTACTTCCACTACCTTGAACACGATTCTCACTCTAAATGAGATTGTGTGTTGCTGCGCTACATTGTCGAATACGGATGTGAATTTGGACTGGTGGCTGCCTTTTAGCCAGTCGTCTTGTTCTCCGAAGATCGAGAAAATGAAGTTCTTGCTGATGCAGGGGCGGTGTGTGCAGTTCAATTTGTACCATCCGACGTTTGTGTTGCGGCGTGTATCTGATGAGACCTTTAGGCCGCCCGCTACGCTAGAGTTAAAGCCAGGATTCGGGTCATTCTGGATTCTAGCAGATGCGAGTACGCCTTTTAGTGATAGGTTTCTGGCCGTGTCGATCGTGCCGTAGTTGGATACTTTCGTTTCGCTCTTGTCCGCTGTTTCGTTCACTGTTGCCCATGTGCGTGTGCCGTTGATGTCTTGCATTCCGAATTCGCTCACAATTGTTTGTACTTGTGGAATGTACTGTGCTTTAATATTGAAAATTGGAAGTGTTGGCTGGTCTCCCCCTTTGAATACTTGTGCCTCTAGCTGTGCGCAGTTGATGTGTGCTGTTGGCTGGTCGCCGTCGTTTATCTGTACGTGGAAGTCAGAGCATAGCCCGTTCGTGTTCTCGATGTAGCATTCTGTGATTTCAATCCCCAGTCGTTTGACCTGTGGGTTTGTGGATTCCTGTGCACTTTTGTTCGATACCTGGTCGAGCAAATTGTCAACCACACACGCAGCAGATCTTGGTTTTTGAAATGTGGTACGACCATTGCTTTCAATTTTTGAACAATTTTCAGACATATTGAAACAGAGATTGATATCAGATACAAATTCGCCTTTGTTGAGTTTGCCAACTTCAGGCCAATTGGGGTCGTAATTGATGGGGTCGGCAACAGGGTCAATAGCAGCAGGCTGGGTTTTGTACACAGTGCGGCCGCCTTCTAGCGTTTGTGATGCTTTCATCAGCCGGACCACGCCTTCTTGCGGGCCGCCTGGTATAGTCATATCCATGACTGACTCACGGTAGCGCGCTCAGCGCGCTCGGAACGCCTCTAACTGCGATAGCGCTGTGATGTCCCTGTGCATCCGGTGCAGGTCTGAAGAGACTGAAGTGTGCAATCGCCGCAGCTCCGTAAGCTGCAGGGGAGAAACAGAAGAAACACACACACAGAAGAAAAAGGATAGTATTAGTGCCTGGTAGTATTGTTCCTACACCGTTTGTTCTTCCCCACCCACCCACCACACACACACACAACACCCCGAGGAACAGCAGTACCCCGAGGTCTACGTTATCACATGAAACCCAGAGATTAATAGAAAAGGGTGGGCTCGTGTTGCATTCGTACCTCTTCCGACAATGCCTTGTGGCTCGACATCACTTCTCTGTGGTTGTTGATGCGAAGGGCTCGTTCCTTCCAGCTGGTGGCCGTGTACAGGTCGTGGAGGGTCGTGATTTCCGTGTTGCTGTTGATAGCGATACAGGTCTGAATTTGATCGGAAGGCGTGTGTGCGAAGCTCCTGGCTGCGTCGTATACGTCGATGTACTGCTGTCCGTGGAATCCCGTCGCTGTGACGACGTTTGGTAGCAGCATCCCTTCCTCGTTTGGTTCCGGTCTTCTCACTTGGTTGTACCTTGTCCGGTGCTTCATCTGCTCGTTGTACCCCGTGAAGTTTCTTGCGTTTGGGTCTAGGCGCATCGCCGGGAGTTGGCTCCTCTCTTTTGCTCTTCTCAGCTTTTGTACTGGCGTGCGGAGTAGCGCTGGTCGCCACTTCTGCTGCCGGGGCTTTCGCTCGTGGCTTGGGTCGAACTTTGTCGTGCTTGTCCTCTGGCGGTTGCTTTTTCGGTGGTGGGATGCGGGGGGAGATGACGGAGGAGTCGGTACCCCCTCGACTGCCATCTCGTCGCTTGGCGTTGGGTGCAGTTCGAGGCATTCCTCTCGTTCTTGGGTCGTATTCTTTCCACCACTGACGGAATTGCGCGCCGGCATTCTCGTGCTGTTCCTTTGACTTTGCGTGCTGTGCGAACGGGAATTCTGCATCAAAGCAATCAAATAGAGACGTAATATCAGCTTCGTACACTTTGTCGAGATCTGTTAGGTTCTTCCTGTGCCAGATCATTTTCAATCGCGCGATCGACGGTTCAACTGCACTTGTGTTGAGGTCAGTCATACCGTCTCCTGCGTATGCTTCTAGGTACGTTAAGCTGATAATAGACCCGTCTGATTGCTTGAAATCTACTGCCATTCCGCCGCATTTGATGCGCAGGTATGGTTTCCCTCTCGATTTGCTGTTCTGGTTGAATAGCGCCGCGTTCTTTGTGATGTCGATTTGTTCTGACTGTTCGCCATCAGGGTTCACCACTGCTGCTTGCACAATGTCGTTGTACACGATGTCGTTCCACTTTGCTGATTTGTTTTTCAGCCCCTTTGTTGGCAGTGCTCCCATCGTGGCGAACATCTTTTGCGCGACTTTTGTATCTGGGATTTTGTCGATGTCCACTATGAATCTCGACGTCATGTCCCAGGACATGCGGTCCTGCCCGTCTTTCACGCTCAGATCACTCATTGTATCGACGATGGCCCATCCTGATTTGTCCTTCTTTGTGATGAAATCTGCGTGCCATGCCCATCGATACTTGATTTGGAATCTGTGCATGAACTCCGGGTTGCGCTGTGCTCGAGCGTCCACGTACAGTGGTGTTCGTCTATCTCGCTCTGCCGCTTCTTTGCCCACTAGTCCTTCGTACGTCACCCAATGGGCATCGGTGTAACGCTGCCAGTTATGGGTATCTCTACTGAGTTTTTCGCGTTGCGTTTCACTGGCACTGTCTACTTTCTCGAATCGGTTGAATTTCAACTTATCGTACGTGTAATGATCAATGACTGAGAACACGCCTGGGTGATTGGTTTGATTATCGAGGTCGGGTAATTGAGCTGCAAGGTCTCGCTCTCTGGCTACTCTGCGTTCTTCGCGTTCGGCTGCCTCCCTTTCGGTCGGCTCCTCCCGCTCTAAACCACGTAGTCTCCTACGCAAAGACATTTCTAAAATGACATAAAATGTTCCTCACCTTTGCGTGCGCCTGCGCTTGCTCGTCCAAACCAGTTTCTCCACGTCGATAGTTCCTAGCTTCACGGGTAAGTACTGCTAAACTGATCTGATGCGAGTGGTTTGCTGGCTTCAAATAGCGAGATCGCGCGCACCTGTCATAAAATACCAGTTCCAACCGGTTGTCATCTGCATACATTGAGATGCTGGACAGTCGCGATTGGTTGGAAACCCGTCATGCGAGTATCGTTTCGCGGGATGTTCACGCGATGTGACTGCCACTATCGTGTGTGAGTTTCCCGCGCTTTGTCTGAACTGGTTTTTTTGCCACAAGTGGGGCCTGTGCATTTATTACAAGGCCCCACTTGTGTCTTTTTGTCTCCTAGTTGGACATAGGATCTACCGGCCTGCTATTGGACACAGGTTGGATATAAAAGGGCTTGGCTTGCCTTCAGTTTGTATCATTCTCTGCTGAGATCATGGCTTCCCGATTCTTTCCCTCTGCTACCAAGCAGTCGTTTGCTGGCCGTGGCGACTTGACTGTTGAAGAGCAGATAAAAAAGATTACTGGTCGTCTCACTTTCCTTGAGCAGGTAGTGCATACGACCAATCGGTTGAATATTCTGAAAGACCAAATTGTTCTTGCCCTTGCTAATAACCCTGGTATTGCTGCTCCAGGCTCGTCTCTTGCTATTGCTTTGCACTCTTTGAAAAAGCAGATCGACACCGTGGGTTTTCAGACTCAGATCTGGACCCGTGTAGTGTCCAACCGTGATACTTCTCGCTGGACTCCTCATCTGATCCCTGGCACCGGTACCGAGACCTCTAATGGTACTGCCTTTATCCACGCGGTTGCGCATCTTGCTGTGGATGGTCAGACTGAGAATTTCCACAAGTTTGAGTGGCCGAGGCAGCTCCGGGACGAGAACTCTCCGTGCTATAAGTCCTTTCCTGATTTCGTCGCTGAGTGCAGGCAGTATATACCCGTCCTTCTCCTTTGTCTCGTCTATGAGTATTTTCATGGTGACATACCTACTCTCGTCAACGATCACGTTCGACCCCAACCCGCTCAGCAAGACGCAGAAGGTTTTGAGAGCATTATCGAGGACGACGCCGACCAGTCTGAGTATATGCGTATGCGACGGGTCGAACACCGGATGTGCAAAGAAACAGCTCCAACGTTCGTGCAGTGGGGGACCATACTACAACGAGGTGGATCCGTAGAGCTGTACGACAATGACTGCGTCAAGGTCCCGGTTCTGGCGTCCGCAGCCCCTAAGCAGCGTCGCAAGCCCTCGGCGAAGCCCGCGTCGCAGTCCCCGGCGAAGTCCGCGAAACCACCAGCGAAGCGTGCCCGTCTTCAGTCAACGCCCCCTCCAGCCCCAACGATTGACGTTTCGGAAGAGGACGAAGCGCCCAGCGATCGAGAGCCGGACAGCGACGACACCGTGGGACCGGTCATTTCATCTGCTGGAGAACTATCGGATTCACCATCGCCACCTACCAAGCGGCCCGCTGCTAAAGCCGGCGGAGGTGGAAAAGCAGCTGCCAAAAGAGGTGGAAAAGCAAAGAGCGCAAAGTAAGAACGACTCTGAAAAGAGTGCTTGTTATGGCTTTACGTGGTTTTTTGAGGAGCATGTTCGTGTTGGTTTTTCGCCTGCTGATTTTTTGCATATCCAGGATCTTGCTTTGAATGATCCTCTTGTACGTGGTTTGATTTTTTCTTTAGAGATTAGCAGCAAGCGATCTCTTTTGCATATACAAGGTTGTGTTCAGCTTAGCTCTAGGAAGGTGCGCCACCAAGTTGTAAAGTTATTGGCGCCTGGTAGAACACCCGAGGCCTCTGGTTGTATATCCTATCGCGCGTTCGATCAGGCTAAGATGTGGAATTATTGTAAGAAGCCCGAGACAGATGCGCAGTTCATTTTCCAGTTTGGGCAACTTGTAAAGAAGGGGCATCGAACTGATCTTGATCAGTTGTCAGAGTTTCTGAAAACAGAGACTCGCCCGACTTTGCATGATGTTCAGCGTGAGTTTCCGTCTATGATTGTTCGTTTTCCAAAGGGTGTTCAGTTGTCTCTTGCTTTGCAAAATGATATCGCACTTGCGGAAGAGTATGAAACCAAAAGTAGGCGCAATGTGAAAAAAGAGGTTGTTCTTTTGACTGGCCCTCCTGGTTGTGGTAAGACTCGGCTTGGTTGTGCACTTTGCGCGCCTTATGAGTTGAACACCGATCGGTATGGGTATTTGCATCATGGCGCGGAAAGGTGGTGGAATGGCATTCAGCCTGACTGCACGTTTTGTTGTGTTGACGATCTGAGGTATAATACTTTCGGAAAGCGCCCTCAGATGCTTTTGCATCTGATCGACAACTATAAGGCTAACAACCTAGAGGTTAAGGGTGATTTTGTCATGGTTCGGATAGAGCGTGTTGTTATCACTTGCCCTGCTTTTGAGCCTAAGCTATGGTGGCCGGAAGAGAACTCTGGCCAGTTTGCCCGTCGTATTACCCTCACTAGAGATGTTGGTTTCATGCCTCTCACCCGTATCGAGCGTGCTTTTGTCCGTACCATTGAGGACATCAGTGATGGTGTGTGTCCAGATGTTAAGCGGTCGCAGTTGCTTTCTGCTAAAGCTGCATTGCTGAAGCGTTTTATGCCTTGTTATGTCCCTACCCCTACCGAGATTGCGGCTGTCGATGTAGATGCTTCCAATGCTGCTATTGCTCATTGCACTTCTCTAGTAGAGGGTGATGGTATTATTTTCTCTTAATTTTGCCCAGGTCTCCGTTTATTATCGATCAAGCAGATGTGTCTGGACCTGAGACTGATGGAGAATTGGATGATCTTGCCGCTGCTGCTGCTGACCAGGCATATCGCGATGATGCTTTTTGTTTATCTGATGATGATAATTTTGATCATGCTGCATATGATGGTGATGAATTACAGCAAGTTTTTCGAGCAGAAATGCGTGAATCTGTTGCAGAAGTTAATCGCATTCGTAGGGATAAGCAGCGGAAACGAATCAATTGGCATGTTCCTGATAGTCAAGAACAGCTTGTGCAATGGGAAAGTGATGCAGATGAATGTATTGCTGTAACGCCTCCTGTGGGAGTCGTTACGGTTGTTCCTGAAACACCTGAGCATGAATGGCCTACGCCACCGTTTGATGAAAGCAAAAAAGGGGAATTTGCAAAGGCGTATGGGTTAGCGCCTGCTGAGGGTGCTGTTGAAAGTTCACGTGAAAGAAGCAGGCTGCGAAAATTGGCTATTGCTAAAAAGGAACGACATGCAAAAACATGGAAATTACAGTCTGATCAAGGTACAATTGAATCGTTTCTGGGTAGCATTGAGCCGTACAAGGCTTAGTAGCATGGTCGCTTTGCTTGCTCATCCTCCTGTCCGTGCTGGCGTTTCTTGCCTAGGATGTCTGCGATTTGAACTCCTTCATCTCCGAGACTCTTTAGCATCTGTAGGATCTTCTCTCTTTCTTGTGTCTTTTGCCATACACTTGCTGCTTCGCTGCGAATTTCTTCCACTAGCTCTTGTGATAGACGAATGTATATCTGTGACCCCGGCGTGATTGGCGTTGGTGGGAAAAATCCAGCTCCTGTTCCTCTGAATGGTATCTTGTCTGTTGGGACGAATGGCCAGTCGTCGAAGTAGTTCCATACCTGTTCATTCTCGCCGTCTGTAGAATGTACTTCGATCTTGGAGTGGTCGATCGCCGTGTTGTCCACGTGTAGATAGGCGGCGTAGTCTAGGATTGTGCCTGGTATCATTGTGACGCCGTCCAGTGCGTCTTCGTACACGAGCACTGATTTGTCGTCTTGTGGTGTTGTCTGTAGTACGTTACTGTATTGCCAGTTGCTGACAACGGAGTACTCTGCTGCTCCGTTCAACTTGCCAACGTATCCTAGGCACATCGTGTCTGGTGGGGGTGGAATTGTTGGTTTGACGTACGATGTAACGAAAAAGTCGTGTTTCCATGGGTTTTGTGCGATGCTGTATTCTGCGCCGATCTTGTCTGTGGTTATGCGGCAGAGCAGTTGGTCTGTTTCGGCTGCAGTCGCCATTCGCATTGCTCGTCTAGCTAGTTCGGTTGCTTCTTCGTTCGTGATCGGGATGTTGACGCCTGCTGTGACTTTCTCGTATTTCTCGAGGTATTGCTGTAACTGGCTTGGTGCGAACCAATCTCCTTCGAAACCGGTGTCTTTTTGTCCTTTCGTTTCTGTTGAGTACCATCTTATCTGCTGTGACATGCCGTCCTCCTGTACGTACTGTAACACGTTGTCCTTTCGTGCATATTCTATGAACACAACGCTGTTGTACTTGAAGCGGGGGAAGTTCACCGGTATCATTTCTTCCGTGAAGCTGCCTGGGTTGTCGGGTGTTGCGATTGGTATCTTGTAGGGCTCCTTTTGATAGGGCCACGAGACTACCCATTGGTTTGGTGGGTCTCCTGGT